AGTGTGCCCTTGACAAACAGGGCCAAAGTCAAATTTGCAAAAATGCCCAGGGCACTGGGCAGGACAGGGCAGGAACAGGGCCTAGGAGGAGGCAATTTGTTTGCACTGAGGACGGAGGCAGCCCTTGGGGTGGTACTGGGCTGCTGACATGGGGCAGAAGAGCAGCTGGAGAGGATAAAAGAGATACTTTCCTATGCAAGCACATGGAGCCTCAGCGTGAGTCAGATGCCAGAAAATCATGCCTATAATCACGCTTATAAAAATCAGGATAACCCACAGAAATAATGCCTACTGAGTTTGTTACATAGAATTATCTTTCTTTTGCTTTTCTTCAGTGCAATTTTAAATAGCAAAGTAATATGAGTCAGTTAATGCATGGAAGAGAATTACTTCATCAAATGGCATAGTAACTGCTGCACACCCCAGCTCTGAACATCAGAAACTGCTGATTTAATTATCAACCACAAATCCTCAGCTCAGGTGTAACTTCCCTCATTCCACCTACATCTTTAAAGCTGAAAATCTTCCCAGCTCTACAGGTGCCTGAAATAAAACACCCCAGAAAGAAAAAATGCCAAAGAAAAGCAAAACAACTTTTTTGCAAGTGCCAAGAAAAGAGACCAACAGTTACTTGTCTTTAAAACCAACCAGAAAAGATCGGAAACATGTAGACTGAATGATAAGAACAAAACCCGAGCATCAACCTTGGCATGCAACAAGTACACACACTCCAGCAGCAGAAGGGAAGAGCAGGGGTGAAGAAATTTGCAGTCAGTACCACTCAGAGAAGAAAGACTTGTGTGGTGTAACAGAACAGAGCAGCCAGGGGAAGGATGGTGGCTCTGTGTTAGCCTTGTAATGGGCATCCAACCTTACCAGGAGAGTGCTGGTGCTTCCCATTGCTTTTGGTTGTGAATGATCAGAAGACAGTTTGCTTTGTATTTGGGTTCTTCTCTTCATAACCACAAGACATTAGCTTTAAAACAACAACAGCAACAAGATAAAATCAAGATTCTCATAAAATCTATTGATTTCAGAAGCTGAAGGCACTAAGACAGATACCAAACACTGCAAAACAAAACCAGAAAATCTTGTGATTGCCATTTGTTAAGCTGGAATAGATAGAAGAAAGACTTCATCACATGTGGAATGAGGAGGGTTTAGGAGACTGCCAAACAGTGGTAGAAAACAATGCCTTAACACTGCTTGCTAAGACCAGGAAGTCTGAAAGCAGTAGATAGTGGACTCTTCAGAGCCTGTTAATTATTCGATGCTGTTAAAGAAGATGTAGCCCCTGTGCTACATATCACCCTGCCGTTTCCTGCCAGCCTTGCTGGGTTTGCACATTCTGACTGCACCCTGCAGAGTGGCTCCAGGTAAAGAGCTGAGTTGCAGCACAAGAAGGAGAAAAACAGGGCTCTGTTTTGTAACTTAACACTCCTCTTCTCATCTTCCTTTCTTCTTGTTATTCACCTGCAGAGACAGAGATTCTCCTTTGTGCTGTGAATTAACTGAAGATCACTGGAATTGCGGGTAACCCAATAGTTTTATATGTACAAATGCACACATCAACAAATGTTAAAAAAATCCTTCTTTAAAGGAAAATACCTGTAAGAATAGAGCATGACTGTTCTACAGACCTCATTCAGAGGATGTGAATGAGCAGGCAACAGGAAGAAGTCAGTTAAATACATGCTTTAAGTTCTTCCACAGCATCACACTATAAAACTAGAGAGGGCACAGAGAAAACAAGGGTCAACAGGACTTGCTTCAGCCTAAGGCTTGCTGCTAAAAAAAAATCTTTGAGACTGCCCTCTCACTTCTGAAGCACTGTGACTGCCAGGTGTGTGCATCTTGCCTTTCTCAGGATGTCTCCAAACTCAAAGACAGGCTCAGGTTTTGCAGTGTCTCAATTCACCCCTAAATACCCAGGTGCCTTCCAACTAGGCTGCCTGCCTCCAGATGACATGTTCCTTTCTGCCATCTCATTTTCCCATTCCTGACACCATCTCTGCTGTTTGCTTTTATCTCCTTCCCTCCCCCAAATCCTCGACCTTCCTCACTCGTAAGGTAGGGAGCCAGCTGCCAGCAGTCAGACATACTCTGCTTTTGCCCCTTTGCCATTTATGAGTTCCCTCTGAAGCCGGGCATCTCACCCCAAATCTGTTCCTGTTGGGATTTAGCACATGCAGACCCTTGATCCTTTCATATGTATTTGCGAGGTCTTTGCGCCTTTCCCACCGCTTTCTTCCAGGCCTGCTGTATGTCTGCAGCTCTTATCGACTCCCCGGGACGGAATACACGAATGCACCATGAGGTCCTGAAGCCACGTCTCACACCTTATAGGAAATGGTTCACCCAACCAGGTCACACCCCCTTCCCAAACACAAGGAGTGAGTCACAGGGTGCTACCGGTGCCTGGATGTTGAAAGCAGAAAGGCAGCGTTTCAATTCTCAGAGAAAAACACACGTATGTATGGATGTGATCAATAATAGCCAAGCATGATAGAATCATCCTTCAGAAAGGACAGATCCCATTTATTTTAACCCCGTGGAAAAATGTGGTCTGCAGCCATTGAGCAGGACTGGACCTTTACCTGGTGACCTGGAATCCTTACGGCACTGCACAGCTCTATGAACACATCCTACACAGGTCTGGTGTCAGCAGGGTCTGACTGCTCTGGGACACACTTAGAGCAGAGGATGATGTGTGAGGATGATGTGTGGAGTCCCACAATGACCAAAAGACCTCAGTTTTCAGGACCACAGCTGAAGACCCATGACTGAGGTCTCAGAGGTCTCAGGAATACAGTTCTACACATCTGCAAACAGTCTCAGAGTGAAGACGAGGTGCAGTTCACTCCCTTGAGCTTTTCCCCTTTGCAGCCTGATAGCTGGCAACACCAACACTGCCAAAGGACAGCTGTAAATGATCAACATGAGATCATGGTGAGATCAGCTTAATGGCAGGGATGTGTCTAAAAATACATAGATGTTGGTATGTATGCATTAGGAAAACCTGAAAAACCTCTAAAAGCTTTTGGAGGTTGTAAGGAGCTTTGTCAGAGGAGTTACATGGTAACTGGGAGCAATTAGAGAGAAATTAAGCATTCATTCTAAAGATTTCCTCTTAGGCAGAAAGAAAAAGCCCTCAAAACCTGAGCCTCCTGTGCATTAATGGTTGTTGGTATCGGGATTTGATGGGGAAGCTGGGAAATACTTGGCATTGTCATGCCAGAAGAAACTCTGGAGCAAACACACACTTACACACCCATTAAAATGTCTCTGGTCTACAACTAATTTCCATTTTTTTTTTCTTTTTTTTTTTTTTTCCGACAAACTAATATCAGTTATACAGGCACTGCTTCTTCAGTATAGCTTAAATTTTAGCTTTTACAGCAAAAATGTGTTTCTCTAAGAAGATGAAATTGGGTGTATGACTGCTGCTACTTCTTACGTCAGGCTTCTCTCATCATCTTTCGAAGCTGCTGGCCACCTTCCATTACAGAAAACACATACATTGGGATCTCCAAGACATCAAGATTTGTGAAAACACTCAAGTAGATGAGAGAGACTTAAATCTGTGCTATTAAAAGGTTCAGCATTGTATTTAGAAATGAGAAAATTCACATTAAGGACATCCTCCTCTTGTATCATACACTTGGTAGAACAAAAAATGATCATACCCGAGTGCCCTGCCTGCAGAATCCCAGCACAAAGCAAACGAAGGAGTAAAAAGCAAGAGAGGTTCACACACAGGACATGGACCCTAGTGACTGATAAACCACTGCATGGCAATGCCTCATTCCCTCCAGGCAGAGCAGCAACACTGCTACAAGCACCAGGTGTCCCAAGGAGAGCATTTAAGATAGGACCAAATGCCATGCTGCTGCTTATATCTGCAGGCATTCCAGGACTCTACCCAAAACTCAGCTCCAACAGTCAGTAAGGAGGGATGTCAGTGTACATGATTAGAAGATGACTCCGTGACCCACAGCAATTGGAGAGACTCCGAGCAGCTTGGAAACAAGGCAGGCCAGCAAATGTAGGGCCACCTCTTCCAGCCTCTTTAAAGCTGCAGTGTTTCAGAGCCCTCCTCACTGTGCTAGGTGCCTGCTGATGGCAGCAATGACAGGGCAGCATGCTCTCCACCTGCTTTTGTTGCTGCCTTCCATATTTAGAAATAGCTATCTCAATTTCAGATGTATTAATTCAAAAAAGCAATTCACTTCTGGATTGATGGTACAGATTCTGCTTTTCAAGGCGAGAGGTAGGATCCTTCTTTGTGCCTAGCCAGGACACACAGGGTGCGGGACTAGAGGAGGAAAGAGTCTCAATATCCTCCTCCTCAGGACTCTGAATTCCCAGCCAGCACAGCTTCGGGCAGATGCAGGCACCCTATGATGCTCACCGGCGCTGGGGAGAAGCTCTGGGGGAGCTGGTGGGTGGTAGCTGGCATTACGGGGAGAGATGGTGGGAGAAAGCCTACGTTACTGAAAGCACCTGATCATCACTTGTGCGTGCGAAAGCACGAAGGTACAAACGGCTTACGAATAAAAGCTCTTTCAGAGCTGATGCTCAGCACTCTGCCCCTTCAGAAGGAGCAGCGTCTCACACAGCTCGCTGAGGATAACCTGCACGTCTCACGCCGCGATGCAGCCGGGAATGACTCCTCGCAGGCACAGTGGTGGGAAAAGCGGTGGCACGGCCCGGCTCTGCCCGCCGCAAGCTGAGCTCTGGGGCTCTCCAGGTGCGTTCACCCGCAGCTCACACAGATGACAGCACGCACCTCACTTGCAGGACGCAAACCCCACAGCAGCGCCTCCCAGACGCGGTAGCAGCGGTGTGGCACCAACCCCGTGGCACCGAGGGAGCCGCGGCCCCGGCCCCACGCCGGACCCCCCGGGTCGGGGCCGCCTCCCTTCGGCACCCCCGCCCCCGCCGGTCCCCTCCCGGCTATAAAGCCCCGCGGGCGGCCGGACCCCTCCTGGCCCGCCGCCATGGCCGCGCTGCGCTTCGGGCCGCCCCCGGCGGAGCTGCCCGCGGTGCCCCCCTCCTGCCCGCCGGGCCGGTGGCTGTGCGGGACGGCCGGGGGCAGCGGGGGAGGACCCGGCGCGGCCCCGGCGCCCCTCGCGGCGCCGCCCCCGGCGGCGGAGGGGGCTCCGTCGGCGCAACGTCGGAAACGGACGAGCTTCACGGCGGCGCAGCTGGAGACGCTGGAGCTGGTGTTCCAGGACACCATGTACCCCGACATCTACCTGCGGGAGCGGCTGGCCGACGCCACGCAGATCCCCGAGTCCCGCATCCAGGTGAGGGGCAGCGGGCGCCCGCCCTCCTCACCGCCCGCCCTCGCCGCGCCCTCACGGCCGCCCTCTCTCCCCAGGTCTGGTTCCAGAACCGCCGCGCCAAGTCTCGCCGGCAGCGGGGGCCGCCCCGGCCGGGTCCCCCCGCCCCGCCGCCGCCCCAGCGCCCGCCGTGCGGCGCGGCCCCGCCGCTCCGCGCCCGGGAGGAGCGCCGCGAGTGGCCGCCCCGCGCCGCCGGCCCCGCGCCGCGCCCGCACGGGGGGAGCGGAGGCGCCCCGGCCGGACCCTACCCGCCCCGCCCCGCGTTCCCCCTCCCGGCAGGCGGCGGCTTTTCGGAGCCGGGAATGGAGTGGGAGGAGAACGCCCTCGGCGCCTTCCGAGCCCTCTGACGGCCGCCCGGCCGTGCCCTGCCCTGCCCGCGCCTCTTGCACTTTATCCCGGAGGGACTGCGCCTATTTATGACCGGGAGATGGGGGCGGCTGCGCCGGTTGCCGGCACCGTGTTACGTTGTTTACAGCTTCTATTTAACCTTTTTAAGCCACCAAGCCGACCGAATGCACTGTTCTAGGAAAGATGGGGGTGGGGAGGGGGCTGTTGTTACTTTTTTGAGAGAAAAAAATAAATAAAAGTTCCCATTTCTGCTCTGTGCTGCTCTGGAGCCGAGAGTTGTGTTCATGATGTGGACAGGGACGGGCTGCTGAGCGCGGAGGGGCCACAGCCCCCGAGGCAGGGGCGGCTCTGGGCCCTGAGAGCCACGGGTGCAGCGAGGGGAAACAAGAGAGCACTAAACCAGCACCCTTTTCCCAAATGGGACAGTGTGAAGTTAGGGCATAGGAAATGCAAAAAAAGCCCCTCAAAATGGGGCATTTATTAACGACTGTATTGGTGTATGTGTATCTTGAGGCAGCTCTTCCTGCTTACAAGTAGAGCAAGCTGTCAGACTCCAGATAATAGAATCAGCAGACCAGCAGTATCATCCAGTCCAACTGTCAGCCTATCCTCACGGTGCCCGCTAAGCCATGTTCCTTAGTACCACATCAACACAGCTCTTGAATACCTCCAGGGACAGTGACTCCACCTGGACAACCTGTACCAGTGCATCACCACTCTTTCCGAGAACAGATGTTTCCTAACATTCAACCTCAACCTCCCCATGTGCAACTTAAGGCCAAGACTTCCTGTCCTATCACTGTTACCTGAGAGAAGAGGCCACTGGCCTTCTTGGCCACCTGGGCACACTCCTGGCTCATTTTCAGCCAGCTGCCAGCTAACAGCCTCAGATCCTTTTCCTCCATGTCTTTCCTGCCACCCTGCCCCAAGCCTGTAGCAATACATGGGGTTTTTGTAACTCATATGGAGGATCCAATCCTCGGTCTTGTTGCAGCTCATACAATTGCTCTCAGCTCATTGATCCAACCTGCCCAGATCCCCCTGCAGGACCTTCCTACCCTCAGGCAGATTGGCACTTCCTTGCAACTTGGTGTCATCTACAATCTTACCAAGGGTGCATTCAATTCCCTCATCCATATCAGTAAAGATATTAAGTAGGGCTGGCCCCAGTACTGACCTGAGGAACACCAGTCAGGAGACAACACCTGAACATCTCAAGGCTCTTTTGGAGACAAAAACAGAAGCGAGGGGTATGCGTACTGTCAGGGAAATTAACCTGTGTCAGGAATCACACCCCATAGGACAAGGTAACCAATACCCAAAATCTTTTGGTGTAACCCATCACATACCTGTGCTTGCCAGATCTGAGACAGCCAAATTCCTGTGGAGCTGCAAGCTTCCAAGGTTGAGTGGTGCAGCAGGAATGCTGACTGAGGAACCCTCTCCACAAACAAAATAACAGAGCTGTCCTGGCCAAACTGTAGAGCAAACAAATAAAAATGAAAATCTGACACCATCCATCCCAAGTGGACTTGGATGCCTAAGGAACTGTCAGGGATGGAGTACTCACAGCATTCACATGCATGCACAGCTTCCAAGTGGCTTGCACACTGAGCCTGCAAGCTGCTGCTGGGAACGGCAGCCCCTGCTGCTGCTCCTTTTCCATTGCGCTCTGCAGTGACTGAATTCATTGAGCTACATGGGCAGCAAAAAAGGAGACAAAGGTGAGCTGCTTCTCATCAGCACAGCTCCCCGCACTATGTACCAGGTGTTCAGCAAGCACCCAGGAAAAAGGGGAGGGATGGAAGTAAACTGCAAGGGGATTTTTTCCCTTCATGTCAGCAGTAGATCACATTTGTTATTGTCAGACCAAACCTTTGTGCTTTAAGTGAGGCTCTGGCATTTCTCTGTTTAAATGAAAACTGCGAGTGTGGGGAACCTTTCCATCTACTTTACCAAACAACACAAAATAAAGACACTGGAAGGGCCACAACCACATTCTGTTACATGATGAGAGGGGCAGCTCTGTGGCTAACTCGAGCAAAAGTAGTGTCTGGTGTTTTGTAATACTCCTTGTACATTTTCTAGATACTTCAAAACAGCCACTCACCTTGTTACCCAGGCCATCATGTTTTGTTTTCAGCAATTAACGTCTCTTAAAAAATGACCTGAAACCACGTGCCAGAAGTTCACATTTTTGTGAAATATATCAACTCTTATAGTTCAATTTATTCAGTTACAAATTTCACTGAGAATAAAAGATTTATGCATTTCTCTTAATTAACAGAACAAGTTTAGCTAAATATAAACTCTGCACTAAAGTTTTGCAGTGGCACAATACCAACACAGAATACAGAAGCATCTTTAAACTATACAAAATTTTAAAATTGAAAATAATCCTGTTTACATATTCTTTATACATTAACATATAAAAGACCTCATTTAATGAGGCATCTAAAGGAATCCAAAACAACTCTACAGCTATCTCTGAAAATCCATATCTGGAAATGATTCATTACACAGAAGCTTTACAAGACTATTTAAACAAACCAATACACACTTTTTACAAGATTAACATTCCAAAAATGTATTCATAGGCAGGTTGTCACTTTCAATTTTTGCAGTTTACCTCACTGGTTATATTTTATTATAAAAATCTTCGTATTTATATATGTTGGGTATGTCAAATAACCAGGAATTTAATTTAAAAGTTGTGCAAAACAAACCCAAAGTTGGAAAAACAGTATGTTTTATCACTCATTTATATAAAATATCAACTAAAACACTTCTTTTTGCCCCACATAAAGGGAAAAAGCCGTAACGACTCTGTTTCTGGAAAGGTATCACTTCCATTTTTATATTCCTTCATTAGACTTCTTATATAAGTTATGATAAATTAAATGTTCCAGCAAGACACTGACTGATCTATAGACCTGCCCAACATCTTCTGCAACTTTAGTTCTCTGTCAACATCCCACCGCTGCTTCTTTAGACCTGGAACCCTCAGCCCATGCTATTACCATGCTAGCTGGTGGTATCTCAGGTACCTACAGAAGTGCAGCTTTAAGGAACAAAGACTGCCACACAGCTACTGACGTGAGCCATTTCCTCTTCGTCACTTCATCTAACGTACCAGGAGAGCCAACAACAAGAGGCAGGCAGAATTCATCTGAACTTTTAAAAACTAAGTTCAAATTATATGAAAGTACGTTTTCAGGTGTATGATAATAAATGCAATTACTAAGAGATTACCAGTTAGCAAAACTACCGCATGTGAATAACAAATGGAGAAATTTAATGTAATGCTTGCCAGTAATGCTGGTTTCCTTAAGAAGCAAATATAATATATTTAAAAGGGTCCGAGAGGTCTTCTTTTCCCTTATCTTCTGGCAGTTAGGGCATTTGTTGAAGCATATATAAATGAAGAGGATTTTCCAGAACTACTTGCTATACACTTGAAAGAAAGTTTTCAGTCTCTGTTGGTGTTATTAGCTGCAAAGGCATGTAAATTTCCCATCTGGCTCAGACCACTCTGAATATGTGCAACATGGATCTCGACATTATTCTGAAAACAACTACAAGGGACAGAGGAAAAAAAGAAAAGGATTAAACCTCTTACATAAGGGTTGCATACGAGTACTTCTATAAGGTACAAGCAGTTAAATAAATCATAGTAGTGCATTCATATCAGTTATCAGGTTGCATCAGTAAATAGCATTTACAAAAACAGTTTCATGAAGTCAAAATTACTGACTTGGGTTCTTTAAAGATGACTGTAAAGTGGTTGGAGCTAATGAAAGAAAAACATTGTGAAGAGATGCTAAAGTACCCAGACTAAGTACAGTGAAATGCAAAGATCATCACCTTCTTAGCAGTGTTTATCAGCCCCTAGTTGCATCCATTCCAACATTTACTTGCAGTGTTGATGACAGGAAGTTTCTCTCTCTCTTTTTTTTTTTTTTAAATCAAAATGGAAAAGTGCTACAAAAAAACATTTCTCAATCGTTTTTTAAAATCAAAAATCTGCCTTACTATCTTGGCAAAAACAAAAAACAAAAAAAAACCATGCATGTAACAATACCAGTGTGGAGGGCATAAGAAAATGCTTAGCATTTCAGTATTTTTATTTTTTAAATTATGTAATTTAGTGACTATGCAAATCTTTAAAAAAAAAATATCATGGTCACAAATTGTTGGAGTTCACAGTATACTCAGGAAGAGTATCATCATGTTCTTGCTATTTTTATAACGCCTCCTCAGGCATCTGCTTATGACAACTGTTGAAAAATGGACACTGGACTAGAGGAGCCTTTGATCTGGCACAATATGGCTGTTCCTTTGTGGTTGGTTTGTTTGTTTGTTTTCCCATTTAAAGTATTGTTAATAGAAGCCTGGCAGAAACTCTAATTGTCTCATATACCAATGCCTGATATTTACAGACAAGAGACTGAGTAACACTAAAAAAAAAATATGAAAATTGTACAGAAAATATTCTAAAGTAACAGTTGTCAGTGAATTTCTTGCTCCTCAGTCATTTTAGTGTTGCTGTATCAATTTATCACTTTTTTTTTTTTTAATCAGGTTACTTCACTTGTAGGTTCAAACAGAAAACTGCTATTTTTTTACTCCCTTTAAGAAGATCCTTTTAAATGGGACATCTTCCATAAACAGTTACCAGATTAAAATCCTTACTTATACTTACTTACATTCACCTCTAGAAGACATTAACAATTGCTTGCTGACACAAAACGTGTAATTAGGAATTAAATATTCAAAGTAGTAGTACCTGATATTTGAGGAGTCTATTGAATTCTTAATGTCATTTAATGAATCTGTTAGTGATTTAAATTCAAAGGAATTCAGGTCACCTCCTTCTGCTAGACACTGCAGGAGAAGAAAACAAAAAATGTTCTAACAGTTCAACACAAAGAACCTGACAGAGGCTTAATATTATGTACTTAATTAGGAGATACTATTTTTGCAATTATTTTACCTTAATCTGAAGTAATATTGCTGTAAGTCT